CTGGATAATATTTTAATTAAGAAATAATTCCAAGTAAAGTCTTATGCAGCTGTACAGCCTACAAACCACAGCCATGACCAGCATGGCAAAATCTAACCAAGGGTATAATAGTGACACTTCCATCTTGGAGGTAACCAACAGATACCTAACTGGACATATGGTCCATTTAATAGGAGGGAGTTAATCCTGGGCACCCTAGCCAAGTACGTACAACTAGTGAGATCATGAACACTAGATCCAAACCTACTACAGCCACTTTCCTAAACCACTGCAGTTTCCAACTGTATTCTAAATACCTGTCCTTATATCCACATCTAAGGGGAACACTCACCCCTCAACAAAGATTTTTATGTTTTTACAGCAGGTGGAGACCATTACCGAAATTCACAACTGGTCAAAATGCAGAGAACTAACAATGGGGTGTGCATTCCCAATTGATACATCTACAACACAACCCCTACACTTAAAGCTCGGGAAACATCATGAAAGAAGGGGCATAATGTAAAAGCCAGAGGACCAAGACAACTGCTGTAACATAGTGTCTTCTGTATATGATAGGGAGATACACCCATGAGATTTCAACAATATGGCTTCTTAAACAAGACCTATATAAAGACAACACCAGTTGACATTCCAACATGAATGGGGTAAATCTTACAAGACTCCACCCCTAGACAAAGAGCCACACGCAATCAATGGCTACTAAGAGAGAGCAAATCAGTCTTCTCCAGGGACAAGCCCCCAGAAACGTTATCCAATGCCAAGGGATTATCACTAAATACACTCATATATATGAATAACAATAAATGGGGTCAGCAGATTTTATATGTGTGTATCAATAATTAAAGAAGTGCTCATCGATGTGAGAGGGAGTGGAAACACAGAAAAAAATGGAAGGGGAGAGGTTGGAAGGGTAAAAGACGAAGCAAACAATCACATACATAAGCTGTAGCACAAACAAAAAAGTGCCTCTCCACTGGACACATAGGACTATATAATAATCAAGAACCCAGATAAGGCTTCATCTTCTAAGGATAAGCAGTGGATTTTGGTCCCATTTTGCATAAAGGGTAAGTTAGTAATAAAGTGAAGGGTCAATATCAGAAAGTTCATAAAAACAGCATTATAGAGACACCATCACCGGTAAGAGAAATTTTAACTTAGTTTGGAAACCACACAAAAGGACAAAACTTTATTACAGCACAAATGTCAAGAAGCAAGAATGATATTGACATTATATAAAGACCTTTCTAGAACTACAATAGTAGACTGTGGAAGACAGGCTCCTTGTTTCTGAAACTCACAAAGAGTATATTATTAAAGGGAAGTTTGGACAATGAAACAAGGACTCTGAGGATATTTAATAATTTGTAATTATATGTAAATAATTTGTAAAGATGAAATTTTAAAAGAAAATTTATATCAAAATATGGTACATAGCAAAAATAAGACACTATCTAAATAGTACATGTACATATGACTTTCTAGCATAGGAATCAGTGAGTTTTTTTTCTAAAAGGGCTTGATAAATATTTAAGTTCTATCAAACATGGGATTTCTGGCACAACCATTAAAATCTGACATCATAGACTTAACTAAAGTAAACACAGACATTATATAAGGGCAAAAGGCTAGTGGAGTTCCCATCAAACTGTAGTCACAGTAATAGACCGTTGACCAGGTGTGGCCTATGGTCCATGCTTTTCTAGTCTCTATTCTAATGTATTCTGATGCAAGAAGTCAGTATTGTTATTCTTACGATGTTAAAATGATTAATATGTGTTGAAATACATTATTGTTCAAGGCAACTTGATTTGCTGACTTCAAAATGTATCAGAGGAAAGAACTTTGAAAAGAATTTTCCAATCTTACCACGTTAATGCTGCTTATACCCTTATGCAATTTAATGTCACACTTTACATGTTTCATTGGTGTATAAAAAACCACCAAGTGGAAAAAATCCATTAAATGATTCAAAGTGGAAAACTCAACCATTATAGTTTATCTCCAGAAAGATAATACTAAACCTTATCTATTTACATTTAGCCAGGGACATATAGTTTTATTGCTTACAGAATAAAAACATAGAGTCAAACTAATGATGAAGCTGTTGAAGTTTCCCTTTGGATGGGTTTATAGTCCACCAATGTGGAGTTCACAGCAATAGGAGCCCACAGGAGAGGAGAAGTGATGCAGAGGAAAGTGACGGGCTTCTCTATAAATAAGCCATCCAATTGTAATAGAAAGATGGAATTTCATAGGTGACGCCATAAGTGGATAGGATACATAGACGCTTTCTGATGAGATAATCCATGGAGTGTTATCTTTTTGACCAGTTTCCAGATAAACCTGGTTTCCTGTTCTTTGAGTGTACAGCCAACCAAATGCATCTTTATCCATTATTTTTTTTCTTCCTCTGGCAGCAAAATATCAAACAGAAGCAATTAATGAAGAAGATGTTCATTCTGGCTCACAGGTTTAGAGGAACAGTCTATGCTGGGGAAGGCTTGGAGCCTGGACCAGCTATGTCTGTGTGATGCATCAGTGTCCTGTTAACATAAGGCAAAGCAGAAGGCAGAGAGTTATATCAGAGCTAAGCATGAGTGCAACCTTTAAAGCTCTACCTCTAGTGATGTCTACCAGCTAGGCCTTCCAAAAAGCTCCACAGCCTTCAAAATAACGCTGGGAAACAAGCCTTCAAAGCAAGTAGGGACATTTGATATCCAGATGAATAGGACATACTTGCTAACGTCTCTGTACAATGGAATCTTACATAGTTTAGTTTCCAAACTGCTATGACCCTTATATCTATCACTAATTTGATTGTGATTTGAGTCTCACTTTGAATGAGAATTTCCCATATTAAAAAAAAAACTTAAATAGGTATGTCACATGTTTTCATCTTATTTAATTTTCAACTTTTTGCCATCTCTATTCCAGTATAGACTGGGCTACTGTGAACTTTGCTAACAACTGGGTCAATCCATATTTAGGGATGTGAGGGACGATCTCTGACACCACTATTATGTCTAGATGGAAAAGTCACAATATCCAGGAGAGTATTCAGCTACTATTTTACTGCATACTTGTCTTTCAGTCCTAAATTTGTTGACTGCATGAGCAAAGTTTTTTGGTAGATTTTCAGCTCCATCCCTAGTGATTTTTATACTATTGCTATTTGAAGCAGAATCGGCATAGTTTTGGATTTGCTTGAGTAAATTATATCATTGGTAAACTTCTCAGTCAATTACTTTAATTAAAGTATTCACTTCCTCATCCTGTCCTGGGCTTTTTGATCTGCTTTTTCCTGTCTCTGTACATCTTTACTTGAACTTTCATGGCTGAGGACTTGACTATGCTGTAGACTCCTCTGTTCAGGTAGTCCCTGTAATCTAGCTTGCGTTCCTTCATGCGTGTCTTTCTGTCTGAACTCCATCCATGAGTGACTTTCCTATTAACTTTTCCTCTTGCTGCTACAACAAATTATCCCTGACTTAAGTGCCTTAAACCAATTTGAATTTATCCACTTGCTATTCTAAAAGCTGGAAGTCTAAAATCACTTTCACTGAACTCAGATGAAGGTGTCAGCAGAGTTAGCCCCTATGGAATAAGTTGTAGTTAGAAAATCCATATTCATGACTTTTCTCCGTTCTCATACTTCCAGTGTCCTTTGGGTCATGGTCCCTACTTCCATCTTCAGAATACCTCATTCCAACCCCTGTTCATCATAACTCCTTAGCCTCTTCAGCTTCCCTCTGCTAAGGGTATGTCTAATGACAGTTACAACACACTGGAACAGCCAGGAGAATCTTGTCACCTCAAGATTTTTTTTTTTTTTTTTTTTTTTTGGTTTTTCGAGACAGGGTTTCTCTGTGTAGCTTTGCGCCTTTCCTGGTACTCTCTTTGGAGACCAGGCTGGCCTCGAACTCACAGAGATCCACCTGGCTCTGCCTCCCGAGTGCTGGGATTAAAGGCGTGCGCCACCACCGCCCGGCTCACCTCAAGATTTTTAATGTCACTTGTCAAGTCACTTTTTGAATCCCAGGGTAACCTTCAGGGTTCCAGAGACTAGAATTAGGGTATCTAGGAATGTATGTTGCTTCCTTGATTACGCATTCTACATTCCAAGGAGTTATGTACCTCCTCATGCAACATATCTTTACTTCCATCTCAACTTACATAAATATCTCAATCCATTTCAACTTCTCTTCAGCTATAGACTAGAGCTGAGTATAGAATGGGGCCTCCACATAGTGCCCTTTGGCTACAGCTCTGGCTGTGGCAAAAAAATAATAACCTTATTTCCCTCATCAACTTTCTCTCCAAATTTTCACAGCTGTTTCATACACTTCTTCTGTCTCCTTCAACTGCTTACTCTGCCATTACTTTTTCTCATCTCTGTCCCTCAGCCATTACCCTGGTTGTGACTAACTTCCTCTGGAACCTAAGTTACTGTGAAGCTTTTAACTAATTTCTCTGTCTCTAACTGTCTTAATCATACCAGTCAGGATGCTGTTGAGGTGAGGCAGACAACAGTGATGAAATCCTGAACTGAAATACTAGTAATAAGACAAAAATGAGAAGATATATTTCAATGTTCTAAGTCTGTCTGAAGTAGTCTCACCATACACACACATGAAAAAGTGAGATGATGGGTGTGATAATTAACTGTATAGTAATTTCATAATGCATATCAAAATATTATTTTATACATTGAATATATGTGTATATATAATATTGTCAGGCATAGTTCAATAAGACTAAAATTTTTAAAAATGATAATTAGGAGGAAAGATTGATAACGAACTGGCATATGTTAAGAAGACAGGGAATTGGAAGAATGCAGAAAGACTCTTCAAGGTCCAGTGTGAAAATCTAGGTGCATAGCACATTCTTAATGAGGAACAGGATTATGATGTAGGATGAAGCACAGGGGATGTGACAAACACGTTCATGGAGATCCAGTAGTACATTCAAGAGATAACACCGGTAAGTAGTGGTTTCTGTGATGAGTCAAAGCACCTCACCATTACTGCCAATGAAAACACATGAACACCTGAGAAACTATAGGACAGACTTGGGGGATAGGCGTGTATGTGGCCTATTGCACAGCATTTTACTCTTTTACCAAGTCTTGTTAGCAGATTTAATGTTTCAGAGATTTAATGTCATGCCTGGAGCCAAGGGACCAGACCAGGAAAATCAAGCCATCTCCTCACTCAAATCCAGGGTGAAGTGAGATCTGTGGGAATAGTGAGGCACATGCAAACGGAATCCAAGTCTTCAAAGACATCAGGATACTTCCGACCCTTCTATAATTTAACTACTCAAGATTGTACGTCATCTTCATTTTCCTAATAAATTTGTTTTTTAATCTTTTAAAACACAATAAGAGCTCAAAATAGAGATCTGCGATAGAGATGCCAATACAAAGCTGTTCATCTTCAGAATGTGGATAAAGTCCTTGGCTTAAACAAGCTCACCTGAGGACAAGTGTAAAGTGGGGAAAGACAACCAGAAATAAAAAGGACCTATCCCATGTGTATGGTTGACTGGAAGAACTCCAGGATTCAAAATGATAGGACAAAATGAAAATGAAAATGCCATGGAAGGAAGTTAAGAATATTCAGTTACACAGGCCTGTTCCCTGTCTCCGTGGGACAGAGGAGTTCAGAATCCATCAGCCTTCATAGTATGGAGATGTCGAAAGCTCAGTGTAGGGATTAAAGAGTCCATTGATGGTGAAGAAGCAAGTGCAGTGTGTGGTCAGGAGAAAACACTACAACGCTTCAAGATAAAAATTAAGGAAAGAGCTGAAAGATTAAGAAAAGTCTGACAATTTAACGAACTTATTTTTCTTGTTAAGATGGGAGAAATCACATTTGTGTAAATAAAAGAAAAGGCTGGAAAGTTGAAAAATATTTCTTTTTGATTGAGAAAGGAAATAATGTGTAAGAGACATAGAAAAATTAAGAGGATCTGTAATATGAACAAAATTCTCTGAAGACAAATGCAAACCTATGTTTCTGTAAATGAAAATTGAGAGATGATGTTTCAATATTAGTTTGCATCTCAGAGAATAGATGATATCCTACTTGAGAACCATGATTGTCTCTATGAAATCAAGGTAATGCCATCAAATCTTGAAAAAAAATGTAAAAATGTGGGGTAGCTATTCCAAGGAATGACTTCAGAATCAGTATCTCTGAGTGGAAGGAGAGTATTTGATTCCAAAAATGGCAAATTGCAGCATTTCATCAGGAAACTCACAGTCATGATGTATTACTCTAGCTTTTTCTATGATATAGAATTGGAAGGTTTTCTGGAATTATGGTGGGGGCAGAGTTCACACAGAGAAGAGTATTTTGAGTACAGAACTCTCCCAAGTGTGATGTAATTCAGAAAGTCGGGGGAATTTCCTCATATGTGGTGTCTCTGAAGGGATCTCCTAGTTCTTCTGTATTTTTGAATAGGGAATGTCCCTCACCATGCCTTTCACTAGTTGTTAGAAAATAAAGATTAAAATCAAAACACCTAGGTTAGAGAACACATTTTCTTAGGAGTAGATGCTAGAAAAGTGACCAAGTACAAACCACAGACAGAGATTCTCTTTTTAAATGATAAGTGCATAAAGATGAGTCTTGATGGTTGTTTGGCTCGAACTGTTTGGGGACCACCCAGGCAGGGGGATCGGGATCCATCCCTGGTGCATGGGCAGGCTTTTGGGAATCCAGTGCCTATGGTGTGGTGCCCTGCACAGCCTTGGTACAGTGGGAAGGAGCTTGGACCTGCCTAGGCTCAGTGTGCTGGGCTCTGCTGACTCCCCATGGGAGACCTTAATTTGGGAGAAGGGGGGATGTGGGGTGGCTTGGGAGGGAGGGCTGGGAGATGGGAGGAGGGAGGAGGTGGGATCTGTGGGTGGTATGTAGAGTGAGTAGAAAATTTCTTAATAAAGAAAAATGGAGAAAAATGAGTCTTGAACATATTGTGGGTGCAACTCACCTGTGACACTAAGTCCACAGGGCATGATAAAAAACAACCTCACCTTCGTTGTAAGAATCCATTCATCTATAGCACAGGACTCAGAAAAAAAAAATGTGCCTTGATCAGTTTGCATAGCTGATAGAAAGATGAGAGAGAGAGAGAGAGAGAGAGAGAGAGAGAGAGAGAGAGAGAGAGAGAGAGAGAGAGAGATTTTCAACAAACAGCACCCCTCAGTTGGACTACTTTGTGTTTTGTCAGGGAGAATGGCTTAAAGAGCCAAGAGACAAAACATCCAATATGTGAGGTTAGCACCTAGAAAAGGAAGCCATACAAGTTGAAGACAGACATCACTCAAGTCACACTTTTAGCCTCGGGCCGAACCGGTTTGCTGTCTGTTGTTGCAGATGAAAGAAGAGTCCCCTGCAATGCTGATGTGAACTGCAACTGGGTGTGACAACCCGAAAGACTCACTCTGCTCAGCTGCATGGGGCATAGCAGCACTGGTTCACCAGGATAATGCATGGTTTCTTCCCACAGCCAGTTTCATTCAAAAATCACCACATTCTCTCCTCTGCATTGATGGCTTCTAAAACAAGTAAAGTAAAAACCACTGTTTCCATGTTGTTTCACCGTTATGCAATATACTTTCATCATTGCTAAGTTTGAGAAACCAGGCATTCCTCCCACATTGCACCAAATGCTTTTTTCTTCCATGAGTGTCCTTGAAAAGCCCTGAGATCTACAACTGGGGAAGAAATGTTTCCATGGAAGGAAGCTGCTATTTCTTTTCCTACGGGAGCCAAAGCGTAGCCTTGAGACCACCCTCTCAAGTGGAAGATGGAAAACCTCAGGAACAGTGTAGCATCGAGCAACTCTCCACAGTGGAGCTGTGAGACGTTATTGAGCACAGGTGTTTAATTATGATGCATTAGGGAAACGGGTAACGCTCAATGACCCTCAAACACAGGCCTCCACCTGTGCAGTGGCCGTCCATTGGTTTGTGCAGGGCTCATATTGAGAAAAGTGATTCTGCTCCAGCCCTGCTCAAGGGCCGTTCTTGTCTTGGTGTAACCAAGTTCACTGCCAGGAAACCACAGGTTTTCTCCACATGAGCAGGTCCATTATGCAAGTTTATAATCTGCATCTGGGTTGTCTCCCCTGGAATTAGACACTTCTGAAATCAAGTGAAAAATCAGAATAATTCAAGCTGTCCTGTAGGGAAAAAAATCTCTCCAGGTACCTTCCACAACTGAATTTGTGAAAAGCAAGGAAAACAAAAAAGGCTAGTCAAATGACCAAGATCATGGTGATTCATCCTGAAATAATAGTCTGTCCTCTACTGCTAGATTGGTAGTTAGGAATGCTATTTATTGAGCAGAAACTGGTCCAAGAGCTTTTTAAGTATTATCTCAAATTCAATCTTACTGGAAAGATAGTATTGCAATAACTATCATTGATACTGGAGATGAAAGTTTATCAAGGAACTCTACATTGTCTCACATCAAAGTCAATGTTTGTCTTTTCCTTGATTGTGTGACTTTCTCAGACTCTGCATAAAATTCTAAAGCCAAGAGAGTGTAAGCGAACAGTAAAATGGGCATGATTTGTTATCTGAATTCCAAAGCCTACCATCTATCCATTCTACCTTAGCATATTTTTATTGTTTTATTTTATGTGCATTGGTGTTTTGCCTGAATGTATGTCTTTGTGAGGGTGGCAGGTTTCCTAGAACTGGAGTTATAGACAGTTGTGAGCCTACTGTACTGGAAATTCAACCCAGGTCCTCTGGAAAAGTAGTCAGTGCTCTTAACCTCTGAGCCATCTCTCGAGCCCTGCATATATTTCTTTTAATAAGAAATATTTGTATTTTTATTATATTTATGCATATGCATGCATGCTTGCATGTTTGCATACATAGCCCAGAGAACTTTGGGGAACTGGTTTTCTCTGAATAACATATAGACCTTGGAGATGGAATTCAGGATCTAGTTCAATAAAGAGAATGCAGAAGATAAAGGTAGTAGAATACCCATCCAATAAATTCCACAGAATAGTTGTGTGTAATGTTTCATTTGAAGTCAGGAGCTGCTAGACACAATGTAAGAATACAGCACTGCACACTCCAGGCAGTGTCTGGCCCTATACCATGCCTGAGAATAGCTTCTCGGGTAGCAGACACACAGGGGCAATGCCAGGAGACAGGAGTCCTCTAAGCAAAGGCTACAGCTAGAACCATGGTAGCTGTCAATTTCTTCCTTTAAGAAGCAGAATTTTTGTTCTTAAAAGTTCTGAAAATAATAGAACAATATTGGGGAGAGCTAATCTCTGCCAACTACAATGATGTTTAATTTCTTTGTAATCTATTGGTCAAGACTCCCCAGTTTCAAGATTTTCAAAGTATGTAAATTAAAATATTTATTGTCAATTAGTTTTATTCACCCCTGAAAATATGTAAGATCAAAGGAGACTCACCAGCACTTGCCATTTCAGATAATCACTCAGAATGCCTAATGTTCATTTCATGCCACTGTTCATAACAAGATACCTAAAAAGACCTATTTTTTTGTGGTTCTATGAATCAAACTCAGTTCCTCACACACATTCAATAAGCACTCGATTACTTTACATTCCAACCCCTATTTTTTAAAAAACTTAAGTACACTATAGATATTTAAGGATAAAATTTACATAGCCAAGCTTGACAAAATTGAATATTTAATATCCATGGATTTTATTATACATTAATTGTACTTCAGTTTTTAAAAGTCTTACAAACATTCTGAACGGCTGCATGCTAGTAGTTCTTAAGGCTCAATATTGCTACATGTGATAAATGGTGCATGGAAAGAACATATGGGGTATGAATGCTTTTTCATGGGTCTTAATGGAAGCACCTCACCATCCCCTCTCTTCAGGGATTCAGAGAATGTGAGACTCAGTACCGGGGTCAGTGACATGCTGCAACATTTGAATTCTCCCATTTGATGAAGCACCCGTTTTTCCCCACCTTAAATTCTTTTCTGTGACTGACAGTTTCATCCATTCCTTCCTGGGGCTACTATTGAAATTCCTTTGTACTTG